TCATTATTGAACTCATGTTCTTCGACTAAAAGGTGGTTTGCAAATATGAAATTGTACTTTCTATTTACAAAACTACTTCTATGATCTTTAATCCCTTGGCAAAATGTTCTTCCTGTTTGGTCAATATACTATTTATACCCTAAGCGTCAGTTTAAAAATAAATGCGTCCAAAACAGTAACAAAATGTCCATTGATTGTCTTAATTGACGAGAATGAATTGAAATAATAAAGTTATTTGGTGGTGGTAGGTACTCGAAGTAGCAGACAAGTTGCTCAAGAATTCAACAGAAGACATCCGCAACAAAATCGCGTTCGACATGAAACGGCAACCTCTGTGAATAAACTTTCAACTCAAATGAATTTATTTTCGTAGCTTTTCATTCGAAACCATTAACTGATAATCGGACTTGAATATGAAAATGACAAAAAAAATTAATTCGAATTTTGCATTGAAATTCGGTAGGTAGGGTCAAAAAGGATTTCTAAGCAGCTTCTTCGAATAACATCGAGAATTTGCCCTTTTCGCAGTAACAGAGTAGGCTGCGTTTGATGCTGTCACTCGGGCTAAGTGCGGCCCATGGAGGTCTATGCCTGTACCGAAAATCAAATATCTGCTGACTGAAATACAGGGGTGTCTTCATCTTAAGTGTGTCATGGTTCATTTTTTTCAGCACAATATTTCAAAATTATTGACAAACAATTTTTCACCATCAGCTTCACAGTTACACTTTTTTCATGATCTGCCAACTTGATTGATCACCATAACGGAGAGATTTATCTGCAACCGACAAGACACCGAGTGCAAAATATTTTTTGACCTCTCTTTATTGAACCGAGTGGAAAGCTAATAGAATAAATGGCCAATGTCATGGATCTCAGCGTGCTTCTGCTGAAAAATATCGCTACTGCTCGTTTATAGAATATGCGGTGTATACGGACTCGATCATTCGAGGAATTTTAATTATACTATGGATGCGATATTGCAAATGATTGTACAATATCCGAGATAGTGGCGTTCATTATAATAATTTATCGATTGTTTTAATGCTAATGATTCCAGTGCTGATCGTCAGGGTGGAAATGAAACATGGTGATTATTATTCTCGATGTTTTTTTTTTATAATTGAAGTGGAACAAGCGCTATAATCTGGTTTTATGATCCGAGAAAAGTATAGAATAAGAAACGAAGATTTCTACTTTAAGTAAACAACACTTTCACAATTTAATAAGTACAGGTTGGAACCACTGACGTGAAATGAATCTAATGAAAACACCTCTTCCTCGCCAGAATTGAAATGCTGTCTCTTAAACCGCGTTTCGCATATCAAGTTAGCGAATTAATTTTACCCTTCCTGAGCAATCACTGTAACCTCAAGGAAGTACTCTCCTTGAGATAGATATGTGCTGGTCTGTACAGGTCTTCTGCTGGACGTACAGCTTGTCAAATCTAGGAATAGACTTCAAAATCTCGTCCTAGGGTCTCCCTTGAGATGTGCGTGGTAGAAAACCCTTAAAGACGATCGGAGCTCAGTTCTAACGACAAGAATCTTGTAGTGTCCACTTCGGTGAAGTATAGTACGCGACAAGTTTGTGCTCTAGGAAACTAGTAATCGAATCGAAATTGAAACGAAAAGTTTTGTTTGTTTGAAGGTGATTGACAATGTTTCATGATGAATTTCACTAGTTCGGACTTCCATTGTCTACTATGCTTAATATAATTGTTATTTTCAGCTATTCATTTTTAATTATTCTTTTTTACTTGTTTCAGGGATTTCAAATCATTTTATATAGTAGACAATGGAAGTCCGAACTAGTGAAAAGTTTTGTGTGGTCAAGCGAGAGAAGTGATGCTAATGTACCTCTCTTTTTCATGCATCGAGAAGGTGATAACGGCAAAAGCATGGACCTGAAAAAAGTTCAAGAGTGTTGTGCAAAATACATAGAAACGCATTAAAATCAGATTTTAATGATTTCATCAGGAGCCCTCTACGTCGATATATATTCAATTATTACATTACTGAGAAAAAAAATCTCACCTTATGCCGCATACATAAAAAATTCGTTGACGGAAATGGTTACAAGGAATCTTTTTCTGAGGAAAATAATGAATGAAATAGGGTTCAGATGGAGGAAAAGGAAAAAAAATAGAAAACTGCTCATGGAAAAACTGTAAAGAAGGTCGACCAATAATTTGTATGGATGTAACATATATCCATGCTTCACATACAAATTCAAATCCAACACATAATCGAGCAACTATCATAGTGAAATGAATAATGACAATTAGAAAAAGTGGTTGAAAAAATGTTAATTCCCAATCTTTCAGAAAAAAGCATTTTGGTTATGGGCAATGCCCCGTACAACGATTTTCAGTATGACCAAACATGTCCTCGGGGAAAGATGAGAGAATAGTTAAGACAACGAAACATTCATTTCAAGAATGATATGCCAAAAATTGATCTTTATTCAATTATTAAAATCTATAAAACACGTTTGAAGTTGTATAAAATTGAAAGGATTATGGGAAATCATGAACAAACTAATTAGATTGCCTGCCTCATTATCATCCAGATTTGACCCAATAGAATTAGTAAGAGCATCACTGACACATGGCTGATGAAAATGTGAACTTCAAATTCGAATCCGTTCAAAGTTTATGTGACGAATTCTCCACTTTTTTTTTAGAACAGTGGAAAAAAGGTTGCTCTTGATTTCGCTATAGACAAAATTATTAAAACGTTCAAGGTGATTGTGACAACGATAGTACCAGTGAGGATAGTGATAACTCTAGAAGCGATTCCGAACTGTCTGGAGTTGAACCTTTAAAATTTATTGTACATACACTTTAACAAGGTCTACAAAAAAGTCCCCTTTTTATCTCTTAAGAATAACTCACAATAACCATTTTTTATCAATGGCTTATTTACGAAGCGATTTTAAGCAATACAGCATTAATGCTTATCCAATTAAGTGCATTTAATATAGATCAATATGGCCCTTTACAGCGTGTAATTCAAATGAATATTTTCGAAGATATTATAGATTTAAAATGCGGTCGCGGCGGTACCGGCCGAAGGGCCGGCGGCGCGTGCCTATAAATAGCACGTCGAAGGTCGCTTCGTCTTCATGATCAGCAGCGATGGCACACGTTTATATGTATTATTAGTATCAGCATTGCACCCGTGTGGAGCCGGGACGGGTCGCTATTTTTCCATAATCTGATTCAAATTATTACTGCTTCATTCTGTTTTGAAAGCTGTAGTAGGCCAACAGTTTTTACGGTATAATGTTTTAGTTTTCATTTTCATCTTGGAACTAGTCAATATTTTTTGGGAAAATTTTTGGCTTTCTACCACTCCATCTTTATACAAAAAAATGTGGGGATCTTCCAAAGAAAGGAAGAAAGTAATCAGTTTGAAAATAAGTAACTCTATAAATGGATGTGTAGATCATGCAAAGAAGTAACTTTCAGACACAAACTGGAAGAAAGCCCTCCTGAAACAGCTACTTTCATATAAACATTGAATTACACGAAAGAAAAAAGAATTCTTTCGTGTTTCCCAGAAAGATCATAAATCAATGTTGATGCCCATTATGGATTTCACAACGTAATGTTGGTGAATGAATAACTTTTTTTCAGCTGTTGAACTCAAAATATTTCATAAAATGAACAGATATCCGCCCTTATCTCCGTTGCCCGATATTGCTGGAGTCAACATTATTTTTATCAATTGAATTCGCTATATAAATAAGTGGCGACGATATTATTTTTTGACCCAACACAGTTCACCATTGTTATTATGCAGATAATCATTTTTCATCTTGTGTGTTGACGTGTACATCACATATGAAATACAAACAGAGGAGCATAAAAACAAACATGACACTACATGACCCTAAACAATATTATCGTGTTAGTATTCTTATATCATTTGTTGCAAATTAAATTAATTATCACTGTTGTTTCCATTCGTGATGAGGATGAACCGGAATATAAATATATTATTATTTGAATGATCATACAACCAACTTGATTAATATATGAGTATATGAGATTTCTATGTTTATGGTTTTTTAAATTGTATTGTAGCTATGCGTTTCTTTATAAACATATTATCATGTACACAATGTACCGTAAATATACACTTTCAAAATTGGTAAAAACACCTTCAAAATGTATAGCTGCAAAAATAGTAATTCACTAAATATTGTGCATATCATATATAATTTTTTGCAAGTTGAATAAATTATCGCTGTTGTTTCTACTCGTGATAAGGATGAACCGGAATATGTGCTATTATTTGAGTGGCACCTAGGATGCGTTTCGTCTACTACTGCGGCAGTCTTTATAAATATAGCTTAGTTTATTCCAAATATACACTTGATTATTTAATTTCGAGTGTTGTAATTTTTGAATGAATAATGAAAAGTAAATCATATTTTCATCTAGAATGTTACCAACAAATCTTGCACTCGGAGAATATTAATATTTTCATTTTGAAATTTCATTTCATCTCCCAAATCAGTTGACAGACTTTTTTGAAATGAAAATGTATAAAGATCCTCAAGAATTTTGTGATATTTTATGACATTGAAGCCATAAAGATATTTGCTTGTCTTCTGAAGTATTCAATTCTGATTTCTTATACGCTATTTGTACAAGACATTTGTAATTTACCCAAAAAAATTACTGTAGCGGAAGAAGTGAAATATACAATGAACAAAACAGGTCCAAGAATGGGTCCTTGTGGTACCACAGATATATATTTCTAAAAATTACCATGTCGCCCACATCGATTTGTTGCTCTTAGGTACTTGGTAGTTGTGAAAACAATTATAAAGTAAACTCCGGATACCTATATTATGCATTATTTTCAAGAGATTTTATGGCCCACCGTATCAATTAAGGAAATATAACAATTGACCACTGAGTCATTTGCATTGAACTCCGATTCATGCTTTGTTTGTCATCTTTAACCTTATCTAATGTTTATTTTCAGAGCCGCCAGAATTTATCAACATCTGGCGTCGAGGTCGGCCACCCGGAAAAATTACCAAAGACACGTCCCTCTAACCCGAGACACAGGCCGCCCGATCAGGGGGTCATGACCCAGAGTTGCCCCACACCACCCCAAGCGAGAAAAAAGTTTTTCCTCAGCCCTAAAGTCCTGAGGAGTCCGCTCTCGAACAGAAACAACAGGCCCCAAGACTCGGCGTTGTCAGGTAGGTTACCAACCAAAACACGGTTTTTTGGTTACGGAATTTGTTTTTTGAAATGGATTTTTTGTAGATTAGAAAATTATAGGAAGTTGGTATTTCATCATGAATCATACAGTGTTTGCCAAAAGTTTCGGAATAATTAATAGATACCTTCGCTATCTACAGAGTGATCTTTTGAAATTTGGTATTTACTCATCATAATGCGGAATTTTTGGATACCCTGTGTATTTATTATTTTTGAATACACGATTAAAACGTAAATTTAAAAATCCACACTCATAAATGCAAAAGTCACTCACTAACACTCATTCATCTCTGTTTCTCCGACTAGTAAGTCCTAGGAAGCTGAAATCTAATATATAAAAATGGATGTTTGTTGATTGGTTTGTTGGTTGGTTGGTAAGCGATAAACTTCTACATTGCTCAACCGATCGTGATGAAACTTGACATATATAAGAGAAGGGTTTTATGCTATCAACTTTTCTGTAACTCGCCACTAAATGGCGCTGTAGAACAATTTTTTTAAAGCACTGTTCTATAACGCTGCGCACGCCTAAATTCGTTGATTCTGATTCTGTCAAAACATTAGAACAGCAGCGATACAGCAATATAGTACAATATAATAAAAATGGATGTTTGTTGGTTGGTTGGTTGGTTGGTAAGTAACAAACGTCTACATCGCTCAACCGATCGTGATGAAACTTGACATGTATAAGTAATTTTTCATAAAGGTTTTTAGGCTATCAATTTTTCTGTAACTCGCCACTAGATGGCGCTGTAGAACAATTTTCTGAAAGCACTGTTTTATAACGCTACGCACGCCTAAGTTAGTTGATTCTGATTCTGTCAAAACATTGGAACAGCAGCGATACAGCAACATAGTACTAATTAGTACTACAACTACCAAATTCTACACGGGCAAAGCCGCGGGCAACAACTTGTTTGTTATATAGGTGCTTCTTAGGACTTAGATGCGCACTAAGAAATTATTTTCAAATATTTTATCTGGGACTTCCCCCGTAGGGATAAAAGGGGCGCGTTTACATATGAAAATTACCTTTTCATTACTGTTTCTCCGTATCGCAATACCGAATAAATTATGAATGGACTGACCCGTATTTGATGAAAAATTAATTCATGATAATAATTAAACAAACCGAAAACCATGTGTGACGAAAAACAAGAACAAAGTATTAATCTCAAATTTCTCGTTAAACTGAAAAAAACTCCGACTGAGAATATGAATTGTTGCAAGAGGTCAACGGCTAATTATCTATCTCGTGCGCGTGTTTTTGAGTGGTGTCCAAATCAAAATTCAAGGCAATGTTGATCGTTTTTTTTTCGACAATAACGGTATCGTAATGACTAAATGAGTTCCAGAAGGTCAGACTCTCAACCAGACTTACCATTTGTCAGTTTTGGCAACACTGCGAGAACCAGTTCGTAAGAAACTGCCCCAGTTGTGGAAGATCACAACTCGTGGACTTTGCACCAGGACAACGCACATGCCCATAACGCGCTAGGTTAGGTTAGTTCCATACTGAGTGGGTCTATTCAACCCTCCTCCGCAACCAGCAAGGGTTTATTGTGGCTCACACCTATTCATACTCGCCCAAATAAACCCAGCTTCTTAACGAAGCCGATTAGTTTGTATGGTGAGTGGTCTTTCAGGTCAGATGGTAAGAGTACGACCCTGCCGAACTCTGAAGACCTGATTCGGTCTCCAGCGGGGCAGGCACAAAGTATATGCTCTGTTGATGAGGTAGTCGGATAGTCAAGTTGCAAGATTCCCACCTTGATACCCACGACAACCTTCCCATATGAGGGTTTTTGCATGTCAGCTACACCTGACGATGCCTTAGATTCAGCCGTGCAGGGCTTTTTTACCTCTGGTTTTGGTGAATGGTCACTTGAGCGCCAACGTTTGCTAACCTGCGCATAGGAGGTTTGATCCCCCCACCTGGGACAAATTCTGCGTACGCCGCTCAAGAATTTGGTGGAAGGCGGTTTAACGTACTTCGCTCTTGAGGATGCGACTCAGTCGTTTCCTGGCTGCACCACCAAACCTTTTTTTATGGTTCAGTTGTTGGATTAGGAGTTGGGGAGTTGAGAAGCTCTCGCTCCTGAACTCGACATCTCTGTAGACTCGCTCCTGAACTAAATTTACAGAGAGTTTAGTTTGAGTCGTTAACTCGACATCCATCTCATCTGTAGACTCGCTCCTGAATTGAATTTACAGGGAGGTTAGTTGGAGTCTCAAACCCAACATTCATCTCCTCTGTAGACTTGTTCCTGAATTAAATTTACATGGAGGTCAGTTGGAGTCGTAAACTCAACATCCATATCCTCTGTAGACCCGCTCCTGAACTAAATTAACAGGGAGGTTAGTTGGAGTCGTAAACTAGACATCCATCTCCTCTATAGATTCAGCCTCAGAAATAATTTTCAAGTTTACTCTGTCCATAAAAGTCCCACGAGTAGCTTGGGAAAGAAGGTCAATCACGGCAGAGCCCCGCATTACTGTGACAAGGCGATGCTACGACGAGAGGGAGCCCGGTATCTCGAAGATTCCGTAGATTCAGTAGTGACAGCTGATAGGCTCAGTGTCATTCATCCTCTCGGCACGGATACACACACCTTAGAATTGAGCCATCGTTGGGATGCCATTCAGTTAAGGAATAACGGAACCACAAGTGATTCTGTCATTCCCGTATCCAGCGGGATGTGGGGGTTGAGCAAATGCCAATGCACGCACCAAAAACAGTATGCACAGTGATTCAGGCAGTGAAAGATGAACAAGGCAGCCAAACCGCCAATGCGCTATCTGTGAAGCGGTATTTAGCCGATAAACGCACTCCAGTGCTCGAAAACGCGCCGTACTCACCAGATTTGGCACCGTGCGACTTTTTTTTGTTTCCGAAGATAAACTCTGTTTTGAAATGAATCCGATCTGAGTCGATGGAAGTGGTAAAGCAAAAAACGACAAAGCTCCTAAAGGCCCTCCCCAGAGAAGACTCCAAGCACTGCTTCGGTCAATGAAAAAACTTATGGAAAGGTGTGTAACGAGGGGAGAGGATTATATTGAAGGGGAGCATTTGAATGTAGAATAATTTTCATAATAAAACACTTTTTTCGTAACCAGTCTCGTTATTTAATAGCGGAACCTCGTATTGGTAGTAACGCTTCATTTCTACTGATGAAGTTACGATGTTAGCGAAACGTGTCTAAATTACGAAGAAATTTTTGAAAATTGTTAGAATATTATCATGGATAATTTCTGATTCAAGTAATCCACGCATACCGTTCTTTTTCTGGAATATTTTCAATGATTAGTATTTATATATTGTCAGTAAAAAACCAAAAAAAGTAATACTTTG